GTCTGGCAGTGAAGTGGTCTGGCAGTGAAGTGGTCTGGCAGTGAAGTGGTCTGGCAGTGAAGTGGTCATTAATGTTTATGATTCTTCATTCTTGTGTTGCACCATTTTACTCATGCATGAAATTGAGTGTATTAATAGTCAAATTTTGGTTCTTGATACGTCGGCCTAGGAAGTGATTAAAAAGATTAGAGAAAGGCTGTTATCTTACCCATTAGTTCAGCTTAGTATATTCACTATGTTCGGTCAGCAAGATGGAATTTTGCTCTACGATTGTAACAAATATCACTTTTACTTTTTTAAGATACTTGTAAATTAAATTCAACTTTTTATTCTAATATACACAATTCTGGGCCCATACTTTCAGAAAAGTTAAGAGATCGTAAGTTCATCAGCCAATCATTGACGGCCTTTCCAGCAAAATACACCAATCATAGACAAGAAAATAGAGCGTAAGTACTTACGTTCACATAGCGAGCTTTGAAAGTATCCACCAATCATAGACAAGAAAATAGAGCGTAAGTACTTACGTTCACTTAGCGAGTTTTGAAAGTATGGACCCTGGGGCCATACTTTCCAAACTCGCTAAGTGAACGTAAGTACTTACGCTCTATTTTCTTGTCTTTGATTGGTTTATTTTGCTTGAAAGGCCGTCAATGATTGGCTGATGAACTTACGATCTCTTAACTTACGATCTCTTGTCCGAATCAACGAGATTGACAGATCTTAAACTTTTTCGTACCCAGGAAGACTTCAGGAAGCTGATGCTGGAGGCCGTGGAGGTGCACCCAGGGCTGCCCCCGGGGCGCCCCCCTCACGAGGTCTCCAGCTGCATAAGATTCATCCCTCTGACGCCACACTTCGGCAGAGGCCATCAGAATCCTATGGCGAAAATTGGGTGAGCTGATTAAACGTAATTTATATATTAATCAGAAGCTTTAAAACATGAATAAAGTTGTTTAATAATGTACAAATTATATTTAAAAAACGAGAGTGAGAAAATCATCTTGGTGATAAGTACTCTCTGAATCATAATCGTTGTTTATATGATTATTATACGTGTTGTTTAAACAAAGTCAGATGCATGGTCATCAAACTTAAAAATATGATACCCAGTTTTAATAGTTTTCTTGAGATGACAGAGGATCAAAATACCTCTATTAAACAGTAATTTTGAATAACATAACATAAAATAACATAACATAACATAACATAACATAACATAACATAACGTAACATAACATAGTGATCTCGGCGCTGAAGTGTAGGCCTGATGTGGCCTGTCGCCGATTCTTTTCCTTTTCGTGTCTTGTTCACAGAAGATCTAATATCGTGTCATTTGACCGGATCTTTTCATGACTGACGATAGTTTGAAATAGCTACTCGACTACTCGATATAGACATTACAATATGCGGTTAACGCGAACTACCAATACTGAGATTATTTCGTGATGTGTTTGTTTAAATGGGCCCAGAATGTGGCCGTGAAATGAATATGGTTGAAAATGAATATTCTTTCATAATAAATGAAAATGGTTGAATGGTTGCATCTAAAATATCTGTGAGCACATGTCGCTGTGTAGAATTTCCGTCACTGCACATATGGAGGTTAACCGTAACCGTAAAGGTTAAACTTGTAGTCGCTTTGTACAGTGAGCCCAAGACTTTACATTCTGTATGTGCCACTACACTTATAAACCACTACTACTGCTACACTTATAATGTGTATAAATTCCACGATTCATTGCCAATTATTGTCTTATCCGATCTGCTTTTGCATAGAAATTTGTACTCATAAATTTTGACGCTATGCTCTGTGATATATTCAATATAGCCAAGTGAAATTACTATGATTGTATTGTCTAACTACAGGGTGTTTCAGAATTAAGTAACCCTTTTAATTTGTTAATAAATAAAAAACTAAGAACGTTATGAAGTTGAAACTTGTTTTATTTGAAAGAAGAACATTTTTATGGTAATNCAATAACCATTAATAGGAACGTACGTGCGCTTAATGTCACCCATCAATAACCATTAATAGGAACGTACGTGCGCTTAATGTCACCCATCAATAACCATTAATAGGAACGTACGTGCGCTTAATGTCACCCATCAATGACCATTAATAGGAACGTACGTGCGCTTAATGCCACCCATCAATAACCATTAATAGGAACGTACGTGCGCTTAATGTCACTCATCAATGACCATTAATAGGAACGTACGTGCGCTTAATGCCACCCATCAATAACCATCATCGGAAACTACTTGTGACATCGCATTTCATATTTTGAAATAATGTCTCGTAGTTCTAAACATTACAGGCAAAAATGTATGTATCGGCAGCCTCATAACTAAAAAATAAACCGAGATGAGCATTTGAATTACAACTAATTTATTGTAACGGCTCGTCTATTTAATGAATTTATTTTATCAAGAGCTGTAGTTAATGATAAACTGCAACTGCTTTATTTACTTTTAAACTTTGTTAGCTGTGCGGAGATGATAAGCAATTATTTTGGTTGTTCTAGGGAGATTGTAAGACTTCCATTGTTAATTTTTTGAAGATTTATATGTTGTGTTCACGCACATCATAAATTTTTACTGGAATACAATTCTGTTTTGAATAACTTTATTGGTTTTCATTAAGAGTGTTGGTGCCATCGAGAAATTTATCCTCTTTGTTTACGCAGATAATAATTTTTTACTGAAATACAACTCTGTTAAGAATAAGTTGATTGGTTTTCACTAAGATTGAAGACGCCATCGAGCTACGTTTATCCCCACCAGGTTCGAGCTGACGACGGTGTTGGTGGTGAGCACCAGCGACGACCCTGGCGTGCTGGGCGTCCTGAGGGCGGCGTTCGAGCAGGTCTGCTGCCTGCCTGGCTTCAATGAGGTGCGTGGGGGCGCGTGAGCTACAAGGAACACGATGTTCTCTTTAGTATATTTAGCTAAGTCTGCCCTTGGATCACGTGGTATATCTCCCATAAAGCCCCATCTTTGTTTGGGGATCATTTCTACACCTAGTCGGCGCCGGCATCTCAACTGTTAAAGCGTCCCAGTTACACCGATCTGTTGGTGTAACTGGGTGTAATTACCTGGGGGTGTTGGTGTAACTGTTGGTGTAATTATCCAACTCACTCGTCCAATCCACATATTCGACTGCGTGGCAGGGGACCCATGCCCACGATAAGATTGACATGATTGGTGACGGTATATTCATTTTGTATGGATGCCTATATAATATGACCTGTTTACCTCTTTATTTCTTTCGACATCGTAAAACGACTACCTTGTGGTCTATTTAATTCGTCAATTGTTGCTTTAGATTTATATTGTCCCATCTGTATAATTCATCCATATAGTTCATCTCATAACGAGACGTTTTATTCTATCAAATGGAGTGCAATGACTGAATCTGGCAAATCAAATGATTTTGTTCGCCCAATCGCCTGATATTCAACATGTACTCTGACCTTCTCTCTCCCGATACGTTACCTCTTGTGTGCTGTTGCTTATGTTCACGTGTTAATTTATTTTTACCTGGCAGCTCTCGTCGAGCACGGAGGGCTTGCAGGACTCAGGATATTGACCCAGCAGTGTCCTGAGGCGCCGGTTCTCCACCACCACGTCTGAGGAGTATCGTCAGGCTCTCGATTCTGCGTGAAATTTTCCCCTACTTTGCTGATGCTGGTGTAGCTTGTTACTACCCACGTATTGGCCACGCCTTTGGAAACAAAGTAAAAATGATTATCGTTACAACGCATCGAGTTGTCTTCAGTGTTGCCAGCAGTCGACGTTCTCTGAGCTTCCATTCGAGCGTTTTTTTCAATTCATGATTAAAGTTGTTTTAGCATAGCGACCTTTTCGGTCTTCGTTATGATTGCTTTTGAAACATGAAACATTGCAAACTACTGCGGACATGGCAATGGTACCGGCAATATGGAATAATTATTTTAATTATTTATGTTTAGATTTGGTAACTATGCAAGGCTGTGAGTTGGAACCGCCCATAACGTGTGTTAGGCGCGGCTCTGTTGAATGAGAGGCGTTAGACCACGAGCCTCGAGGCGCGTTGCACAGAGGAAGTTAACGTGTAAATTGTAATCACTTATTTTGCGCAAAGGAGTTGGTGTCAATGTTACGTAATTTTAAGGCATATTTAATGTTATTTGTGGATATTATGGTGTGGTATTAAGGTTATCTCATTAACTGCAAGCTTATGGTCTGCCGCCGAGTTTTAACTTATTACATTACCAGCAGCCTCGTCGTTGGTGGCTTAGCCTTACATCTTTATTATCACTTTCTTGTGCCAACTATTGGTCACAATCTCAGTACAAATGGCGGTATAAACATGTGCATAATTTTAGCCGCCTGAGCAATAATTTATAAGCCATTCACTGCCAAATTGTTGTCACAATTTCGAAACAATCGCCTAATGAAAATATGAATTATTTCACTGCCAGTAATGTAACTTGTTAAGTATTGCCTTTATCGCGTCACTCCTCTAGGGCAGTTAAGGGTAAGCATCACGCCTCACGGCAGTTAAGGGTAAGCATCACGCCTCTAGGGCAGTTAAGGGTAAGCATCACTCCTCTAGGGCAGTTAAGGGTAAGCATCAGAGCAGTTAAGGGTATGCATCACGCCTCTAGGGCAGTTAAGGGTAAGCATCACTCCTCTAGAGCAGTTAAGGGTAAGCATCACTCCTCTAGAGCAGTTAAGGGTAAGCATCACTCCTCTAGAGCAGTTAAGGGTAAGCATCACTCCTCTAGGACAGTTAAGGGTAAGCATCACTCCTCTAGGACAGTTAAGGGTAAGCATCACTCCTCTAGGGCAGTTAAGGGTAAGCATCACTCCTCTAGAGCAGTTAAGGGTAAGCATCACGCCTCCAGGACAGTTAAGGGTAAGCATCACGCCTCTGGAGAAGTTAAGGGTAAGCATCACGCCTCTAGAGCAGTTAAGGGTAAGCATCACGCCTCTAGAGCAGTTAAGGGTAAGCATCACGCCTCCAGGACAGTTAAGGGTAAGCATCACGCCTCTAGAGCAGTTAAGGGTAAGCATCACGCCTCCAGGGCAGTTAAGGGTAAGCATCACGCCTCCAGGACAGTTAAGAGTAAGCATCACTCCTCTAGAGCAGTTAAGGGTAAGCATAATTTCTCTTTTCATGCAGCCAAACATCAGACCCTCTGCCCAATGTTTGCCGTAGCTACTAAACGAGTCCTCCTAGTCGTTTGTTTAGCTTGAATAATTTTTTTTGCTATCTCATATGATATTGTTATCACTTATCTATTGGATTATCGGAACTATCTATATATTTTGTTACAATTTTATATTTATTTACAGCAATAATTTATTATAAGCTTATAGACCTGAATGCGAGTTCTTAGCTCTTCTTCTTATACATACTTCGAAATGCTTCAGCTTAAACGTGTCTGCGTTGGTGAGTTGCATAGCAGTAGGTGAATTAAGTATTCGTTATTTGTGAACCTTTGTTTTCGTGTCTGAATTGTGATCTACGTTCCCACAATTATTCAGCTCAGAATGCTAACTTTCAGAAAATATATTCTACGTGTAACGGTGTATGAGTATATAAGAGATCACCAATTCACCATAAATACAAATATTCAATGATTTTCGTTTATCTGAGAATTTTTTTAGGCAGCAATTACGGACCGATTTTTATTTTGGATTTTATATTACTTTAATTTTTTTATATATCACTATATTTCTGGAATTCATTACAAATTAATTTAATTATAAAGGTAATCTCCAGTTCGTAAGAAGGAATGCGTTCTGTAAAAATACACGAATAAACCTTCAATATTGTTTCAGTTCATTAGTAACATTTAGATTTTAAGTTCGATTGGTATATAATTAAGAATTAAAGTCCTCGTTCCTTGAAAATGTGTCAGTTACGCGGCTCATATGCCATTATTGTATACTCATTATAGAACAAAAATTAAAAAGATTTAAAAATTAATTTGATGTATCGGGATTCATATTTTCTGCTACTGCGGATGGGCAATAGAGAAAATCGACCTTCTTAATTCTTATTATTGTTTAGCACATGATGTACTTTACATCAAATTAATTTCGTCAGTCGAGGAAGGTTACAGAGTTAAATTAATTTCGTTTTTCTATTTGAGGAAAGTCACTGAATTTAGTTATTTCATTCGCGATTCAAACCGTCCAAGAGCGAAATCGCAATAGAGGGGCTTCAATACCTGACCTAGGGCTTAAAAAAACTATTTAGGCCTATGTGCGGGAAATTTCCCCATTTAGTGATTTAGACTAATGACGTTTAGAAAATTAGACATAGCCACATAGGTCATAGGCTAGGCAGTTTTTGATTGTTAACTTGAGTGCAGACTGTGCAGTACCTAAGTGACAATTTTGTCTACTTATAGCCAACTTTTGAGTGACCAACCATTATGTCAGGAAAATTTAATTTTGATCCTCCGAGTTCTGCAAGTTCAGACAGGTTAGTAACCATTAGTTACACATTGCCTAGAATATTTTGTTTATATTGAAGACTTGAGATGGAAGACCGACAGTAATTATCCACTCAGTCTAATAATCATGGAATGGAAGACTTTTAATATTGCTATTAGGGCAAGTCAGGAAAAGATCTACTCTGTGAGCCGCGACTGGATTTTTTGAGCCGCGAAATAAACGGGCTGTACGTTCACCATCAAATTTCCAAAATTCGTGTGTTGTGTGCTTTTTGCTTTAATCATAAATCTGCCCGACACACGTTTTTGGGGCAAGCCATAATTTTAATTTATTTCCTACTTTTTAGTCCACAAGAAAAACGTGGTTTAAAAAAAAATTTTTAAGTATTTTCCTTAATACGCACACGATTATCCCTCAGGCCCTATATGTACTCAAGAGTCACATTTCAAGCCACACCAAAAAAACTTAAATGTACAATGGCATGTCTTCTTTATGTGCTTTAGTAGTATGAATTCTAGCCAATTAAAACCCTTATCATTGTTACTGACACGGTCACGCCCAGTATGTAAATAAGTATTTTCCGGACATTTCATATCCAAGGGAACGCACAAGCTTGACATCACCATCAGGCCATAATGAATATGTGTACCAAGTTTCATTGAGCTACGTTCAGTACTTTGGGAGATATTTGATGTACACTGAATCTGGAGACCGGCCACGGGTCCGACTGTAAATTTGTCCGAGACGTGGGAACGAAAGTGGCAACTTTCCAATTGATATTCTAGACGTATATAAATTTCTTGCTATATTAAACAACACACCAAACGTACCGATAGGTGGTAGTAAATTAGTCTTTTCCCTATAATAAAATAACTGTAGAGTGGTGTAGTGCCTAATGCCTTTACTATAGTGACGAAATCAACTGAGTAGGTAACTTGGCGGTGTTACTGATATTCCCTAGACTCGAGAAGCTTAGCTTAGTAACCAACATATTTGCCTATTACGTAGTTGGCGGGCGCTCCATCGAAGTAACAAACATGCACTGGGCATTGCAAAGAGAAACATTTCTCGCTCAATAAATGATGTTTTTGCTTACAGTTGAACACTCCTTGTTAAACTTTTTTTCATGTTATTAAAATATGGTATCCTATAGTAACGTAGTCACCGTCACCTGTCGCACCACTGTCAAGTTAGTGGCTTTGGTTTCTTCAAAGTTTGAACTACCAAACTTGCAGTCCGACCTCATTTCAGGATGGTAAACGTTTTTGGTCAATAAATTTGTACGCGGCATAAACTATTCAATAGTTTTTCATCGAATCAAAAACGAGTAATGAAATTTTCTAGAAATAATTCAGAAGTACATAGATTAGAGGCTTAAAATTAAGACAATACTATATTAGACTTAGAGCTAAGAAGCACCAGACACCGGTCATATACCTATGATTTCTTCCAAGTTTCGTGGACAGAGAATACGGCTGGTAAGGTAAGGCGTAATCGGGATAGTTTTCCGAACTTTATAATTGAATCATGTTAAAGACCATTCACAATATAATTCTACTACTAGTCTACGTTCTGTTCGAAACGAAGTTAACGAACTATTGATAAGGCCATATGTATATGATGATAAGAATACTTACAGGTATCAAGCCACCATGCATCGCAGACCGGCGCCAAGCCTAGTTGTTGTGGAAACGGGATTAGGAGTTATCACTGCACAACCCCACGTGGCAACAACATGAGCTCAAATGATACAGTGATACATCGGCCGGTGCACTATTCTTTATCGTTTTGCTGCCGACAACTGCCAACCGCTGGCTTGCCCTTCCATCACACATCACGTGACCCATTTCGGAGCCGCGACATTTCTAAATCGATATATTTTACCTGACTTCCGAGTCCCGAGATTTCAAACTTACATATAAATGGGAGATCTCGGGCCGCAAAGTTTCCGTTAAAAGTAGATGTATTCCACCCCTGGATACCAGCATTATCATACATAAGAAATTGGTTGAAATCTTGAGTAAATGAGGAAACTAAAAATGAACTGATTCTAAAAAATCTCTGGTTTGTCACTATGTGGAGACTTAGTGGCAAACCAGAGATTTTTTAGAATTAGTTCCTTTTTAACTTCCTCATTTACTCAATATTTGAACCAATTTCTTATGTAGGGTAAACGCGGTATATTCCGACACATTAAGGACGCATCAAGAAATGAAAAACTATAAAAAAAACATATGCGTTACGTAAGTTCTGTTGCCTTCACATGACTCTCAAAACACTTCACTACGCGTCAGCAACAATGAAACGTCACAATGTTGCCATATTTATTAAAAAGCCTTTAGAATGGAAACCTACCAAATCCCTATATTCCGTCACTTTGTGTGGCAATATTCGACACGACACCACATGGCATGCATTGTCTCTCTTTGGATCTCAATATTTTCCCACTAGATGGCCAAGACCTAGTGTTTTTGCAGTATTTCGACACGCAAATGTATGACGTCACCATTTCAACCATCAATGAACGCATGGAACTTAAACAAAGCTTAATATAAAGGAAAAGCTGGAGAGGTGATGGAATTACCTACAATGTCGGAATATACCGCGTTTACCCTATGATAATGCTGGTATGATGGTATCCATGATACTTTACTGGTCTACTTGGAGGACTCAAAATTGAACTTGAGTGAGAGTCTAAAAAACTCTCTGCTTTGCCACTATGCTTGGAGATGATGGAAAAAAGGAATTAGAATATGCATGATGAAGGTGCTGATGCAAATTTTAAGGGCTTCAATCCTTCATTGGAGTCATCAGATCTAAACAATATGAGTGATGCAGAATCTGTCATTACAGCTGGTCAGAGGTTCCACTCTCGTGACCCTCCCTCATGCCCATCGCCTCTGAATGATGTGAGTGATGCAGAGTCTGTCCTTACAGCTGCTCAGAGGGTCCTCTCCTTGTCATGCTCTCCAGATCTATCTGAAGACCCTACAGATAGTAATGTTAACCATAATCTGGTCATTGTTGTGGAGCCTCTTCCAGATGAACGGCCAGTATCAAAATTCTTTGCGAATGACATAGCTCTCAGTAAAGCTTTAGCTAACTCATACTTTGGTAAAATTGGTATAAAGGGAATGCAAAAGAACATTAGTAGAGGACTTGTGATTATTAACATGGGAAAACATAACCCATCTGCACCATGCATACCTCAGCTCCTTTCCACAACAGAAATTGGGACTTGGAAGGTTAAATGCCATCTCCCACTCAATCAGGTAATTTTAACAGGGGTGATAGGTCCTTTTGGTAGTGAGACTGAGACCTCAGATGAGGATCTAACTCATGAGTTGCAACTGGAGGGATACTGTGATGCCTCAGCAGAAAGAATACACAAAGGTAGGGATAGAGTCCCAACATCAATGTTCAAAGTGATCTTTGCAACTAAATCTCTCCCTTCCTTTGTGTACTTGGGCTACCAGCGTTTCAAAGTGGAAACATGTTAGTAAGCCATGGCAATGTTTCAAATGCCAAAATTTTGGGCACAATGCTAGTGATTGCAGCGGTCCAGCCCGTTGTGTTGCTTGTGGGGGCCCTCACAGTGTTAGGGACTGCTCTTCCTCTAGAACCCAAGCACCGAGATGTTGCAACTGTGGAGGTGCACACACAGCCAGCTACGGGGGATGTCCCCAGGATGGAATTCTAATTTCGAAGGTTCATATATTATTTCAATCCACCAAGACCACTTTTTCGATCCAGCATTGTTATTTGAGGCAAAAAATGAACTTCTTAAAGGCTTAAAACACGTACGCTAACTTGCTCAGTTTCTATAAAGTACCTAATCACTTGGAAGTTGCAAGTCTGCACCTTTCACTCAACAATTAAAATTAGACTTATAAAAAGTACCGTAAAATGGGGTTACTCTGACCGGCAGGGTAACTTTGACCACTTTTTGTTTTTTTAACAAAAACCCCCAAAACTCAAAAATGATTTGACATAGAAAAATTTTGTCAATGGCCATAAAAGGCCTAATACTGAGGCTATGTAACACAATAGAAAGATTTAAAAAGTTTGCATATCTAATAGGTTAACAAATTAATAATGTGTCCCACAAAAAACAGCTATTATTTTAAGCCTGTCAGAGTACCCCCTCCGATTTTTTTATTATTTGGTAAAATAACTCCA